GTTCAGCAGTTTGCTGTTGGAACAAAGAGTTAATCTGAGGCCCAAAGGACCTCAACTTCTTAAATCTTTGGGCTGCTGTTTGGCACTGATGGCCTCCCTGAGCAAATGTGTGCCTCCTTCAGTGTGTGAAGCCTGTTAACACTACCCGGGGCTCGGTTTGGCTGTGATAATTTACATCTGCCTTTAAATCCCCTGGGCTGGCCTCTGGAGGAGGTGTTCATTTCCACTGGGCAGGACTCCAGATAGAGACTGGCAGCCCAGCTGTTAAGATTTTATTATGTAAATGTCTTTGTTCCAGCTAGCCCAACTTTGCCTGCAACTGCAGCATTTGCTCCATTTGGGACGAATTAAAAGAGAGGTTGGCAGGGTGGCAGGAAAACAAAAGCAGCAGATGCCATCAGGGCTTTGGGAGCAGACCCGGGTCTCAGGACTGCCTGGAGGGTGGAGGAAGGTGGGGAGGGTGTGAGGAAATGGCTGCTTTGTTTTCTTAGCTGGGTTGTGTAACTGGTTAATGCGATTGTTTGCAGCAGAGGCTGCTGCTTTCTGGGGCTGGCGGTATTTTTTTCATTGAGCTGGAATGTTGCATTGTGGTGAAAGCAGAAACACCCATCAGGCTGACATGCACAGTTCCAGTCGGGCTGGAATCGGTTCCAATCGGGTTGGAATCGTGCATCCCTGGTGGCTGCTTCCAATTCTGTGAGCTGAGACTTGTGTGGTCCCTGCTTGGAGGCTCAGCATGGCTCAGGAAGGTGAGCTTGGCATTTTCCAAGGTGCCTGTGTTCGGAGACGTCTTGTGACTCAAGAACTGAGCCAGATTTGCTCAGAGTTTGTTTGGTCTTCAGGCGTTGCCTGTGTGAAGCTTGAAGAAGGGGTAGCCAGGTAGCTGGGAAGGGCTGAGTGTGAGCACATGGGAAGCTGCTTTTAGCCTTGGGTAGCAAATACTTGAGACCTCAGAAAGGGCACAGCCCTGCTTTGCCTGCCTTGCAGTCCTGGTTTGCCTATGACAAAGCCCTTGGGAGCCAGATCAAGTGCTGCTGCTATCCCCAGGGGTGTGATGCTGTTCATGGCTGTAGGTCTGTTGGCCTTTGACCTGCCCCAACCATGACACGTGCTGCTGAAGACCAGCATCTGAGCTCTCCTTGCTGAGCTTCATTATGATCCACTGTTGAAGCTCTCCATGACTGGATTCTGTGCTCCTTTAGAAGGCTGAAAGGACACATGATAGGTGTGACTGTAAACCAAACATGAATATCATGCCACTCATGCTGGCTGCTGGAAACAGGCAGCTCCTTAGCTCTTTTTCAGGCAAGACAATGAGGGTTTCTGCAAGCTGGCCCACAGATTTGAGCATGGACAGAAATACTTCTATAATGATGGTCCTCTCTATTTTACTTTTCTGCCAGAATCTAGACCTTGCCAGGTAGGAGCCGTGCTAGTGTTTGGGCCGGTATTTAAAGCAGAGTTTGGTCTGTCAGAAGTAGTATAGAACAACTAAGAAGATTTTTTTGTGGGGAACACCCATCCAGAGGCCAATGAGGACAGGAAATGAGCGTGGCCCAGCCGTGCTGGCATCAGTCCAGCCTGATCCTTTAGTTCCTGCAGTCTGGTGTCAGCAGCAGAAAAGCTGTTGTCCTTGAACATCCCTGTATAAGCTACTTCCTCTAATACCATAGGAGATGCTCCTACAGCAAGAAAATACTTTGGAGCCCAGGTTGTACAGCAGCAACAGGAGGAAATTAATGTTGAGGAATTAACTGTCCTGGAGTCTTATGGTATCCATAGCAATTGAATTAACTGAAGCACAACATCACAATTCTTTTCTCTCCAAGCTAACACTAGATTCAATTGAGGGGAAAGTTGGCAGGAAACGTGACCCACCCCTCCCAATGATCCCTGGCTTCTTGTGGGCACCAGAGCTGTGGAAGGTGGGAGTTTCACCCTGCTGGGAGGGTGAAGCACAAGCCATGTGGGCTGGTGGAACATCTGCAGTCAGAGCTTTGCAGCCTCTGGAAATCCTCCCCTGGCCTCAGTTGTCTGCTGGCCCTTGGGCACAGGCACAGAGGAACCCAGTGCCTGTCTTGACAGCCACAGACCTGCTGCTCAGGGAGGGACCAAGGAAGAGCCTCTCTGGCCGTAGCGTGAGGCTGCAGTGATGCTGGGATAGGGACTGCAGAGTTGGAGTGCATGTCTGTCTGTCTTTACTCTCCCTGTACTTTTTGTAGCAGGAAAATGGGGCAGTTTGTGTTTAGGGATTGATGGCTTGTGCCTTCACAGCTCTTTGCCTCAGTGTCTGCAAGTCAGAGCCCAAATTCCATGCTGAATTTCTTAATTTGTGAGAACGTAGAAGGGAATTGGATCAGGTACCAGTGCAAAAATCCCTATTTCCAATGGGAGAAACTCTCCTAGTCATACAGTTGCTACTGTGGCCTCCATTGCTGATCCCAGCTTTTGAAAAGTGCCTTCTCAGGTCCTCTAAGCTTGATGCTTGGGCTGCAGTGCTAACCCACGTGGTCTCCACACAGGGAAGAAACCTTCCTGTCTTAGCAAAATGAAGGTGTAAGGGAGAAATGCCAATCCTCCTGGAATGTGGGCTTGAAATGTGGGCAATCCTTTGCAACAGAAGAATTTGAGGTACATCTGTCCCAGCTTGCCCTAGGAGACAGAATAGGAAAGGACAATTAGGCAATTGTTGTATGAGAGAATAGGAAAGTGCAGCCCAGCTGAGTGGTTTCTCTGCATTTTTTGATGAATTATGTAGAATGGTCTGAATGAAAAAAAAGGAGATTTGAGTAGCAAGTTCTGTAGTTTCCTGGATAATTTCTTTTATTATTTTACAGTCACTTATTTGCACTTAGGAGACCTGCACTAAATTTTTTATCCTTATACAAAAGATATAGCAGAGAGTGTTCTGGAGTTGGTGTCCTTTTACTTCAGCTGGACTTGTAGGTGAAAGTACCTTAACTAAATTAATTTAAACTTGAGATAAGGCAGTACAAGTTCTTTCACAAGCCTTTAATTCTCAGTCATCTTGTAGAGAAGGATTGAATAGTCCAGGGTGTTGCATGTTTCTTTCTCTCTGTTGTTGTACAAATTTGGTTCTAAAATAGTTTCTTTCTTGAATAAACTAGATGGGTTTTGGGTATTGTTTGGTTTGTGCAGCTTTGGGAACAAAGAAACCACATAGATCAGGTACTTCTGTGAAGTGGACCTTCAGAGAAGTAAGAAATCTGGAGAACTTGGATTTGTGCATTTATTTTGGGCTCTTAAGGTGAATCAAGACTGCCTGGAAGGGGCTAAAAGGAGCAGGGAAACCTGTTTTGTACCTGAGTTTGTGATGTTAGTTTTCTGTATCTTAGAAGACTGAAGGCAGAACAGAGATGGTAAAGGTGTTGGTCTTCATCCAAGGCACTGGTTTTTTTTGATTGAAGTTAAATTGGTGTTAATGAAAGTTGATCTGATACTAAAAATGCCCCTGCCTTGCTGCTTTTGGCTCCTGGCATGTCACCACCTCATTAGCTTTGGGGCTAGACAGGACTTGAATGTCTGATTTATAAACCAGGCAGATTTTCTTCCTCCAAAAAAAGCTATTGGCCGTTTTTCTCCTCTAAGAGAGATAAAATGGCACAAACCCAGTTCTGTTCCTTTTCAGGTCACTTTTTAATGTCTGAACATGCTCTCCCTCTGTACTTTCTGGAAGTCCTACACTTGTTCTAACGCGTGGAAGTTCTGGCAGCCTGTGAGATCCTTCCCGGGCGTCAGCAGAGAACTTTGCTCTTTCATTTCTCACCAGCTCAATTTCATGCCAAAACTGTGAACAGCATCTTTCCCAAGATATCAAAGTGCTATCTTTTCCTCTCAGATGAATGTTTAAGATGTCCTGCTTTGCTCGATGACTCTCCACGTTGTCAGGGTGAACTCCTTTGTGCCAACCATCATGGAGTTCAGCATTTTGGGTTTTGTTGAAGTGCGTTGAGATCCGCGTGGTGGTTGAGGACTCTCTTTTGATAGGCTAGGATATAGGTGGCTGAGAACATGTCTGGGAGGCTGATGCACACCAGTTACCTTCAGGAGTTCTGAAGAGGACTAAACTGTTTCACCTGCCCTGAAATAAGAAATAACGTTTCTATTTAGTCTCCTGTTCACAAAGAGCAGCTGAGGTTGATGGTGTTTTGTGGACACGCAGCCTTTTATGACAAAACGGGCATTGCTCTCCTTTGCCAGGTTTACCCAGGCTTTTGTTTCCCAAGTGCAGCTTGAAGCACACCACGGGATTGTTTGGAGGGGAACAATGTTAATGAGGTCACCACTGCATCGTGGCCTGACAGATAACGTGCAGAGTAATCTGCTGGTTAGTGATGTGATTTGCTGGCTAATATGTTATTGCGTGGCCGTAATTCTCAATAAGATCCTCCTTCCCTGGCCTCCTTAATCTATAAATCTCTCCCACTCGTTGCGTTGGTGGCTTGAGTAGTTGCTGCTTTTTTTTTTCTTTCCACTGATGCTCAGCATTTATTTAGCATGTTCTTCTCATGGCTTGTCCTTAAGTTTTTTATAATACTCCATTTTTACATGACTTCACGCATCTGTCTTATCTGTCATCTTTGTGCTTTGCTTGACAGGCGTTCAAAGGCTGGAAAAGGGTGGCATTGCCTGTACTCTGAGGGCTGTAATTAGGGTTTTGTGATCTGGTTTGCATCACAGGGCTGGAAGCCCTTGGCACATGTGGTGTTGAGACACCAGGAGCTTGCTCTCAAAGGCAGGAGAGCAGAATTTCAGTGCTTCTCATTGAGCCTGGCTGTGGATGAGGATGACCCCACATCCTTGTGGTGTGGATGTGCCCCATTGCACCTCTCTGGCTTGTAGGTCATCTGGGAACTGTTTCTTTTTCCAGTTGTGGGATTTCCCTTAGCAGGAGTGATGGCTGCAGCTGTTTGTTGAGATTAGCTGTGTCTTGCACTGAGGCAACACAAGGTGTTGGTGCCTCATCAGATGAGATGTTTGGAAGAAACTACACAGCTCTGCAACCACCATCTTCACCTGGAAACTGTTGGTCTTGCATGCCCCAGGTTTGGTGTTTGAGCTGTGTCCTGATGTGACAGTTTCCTCTGCTTGTGCATGTTATCAACCTGTGCTGTGGTTGATGAGTCAGGATCTTCACAGGTGTGAAGGGTGCTGGTGGGATAAACCTGAACTTGGGTCCTGTGGTTTTGGTGCAGGGTTGGAAGAGGGAGGATTGCAGCCTGGAAATGGGAAATAGATACTGCTCTGGGTGCTCAAAGGAAACTGTTTTTTGACTCTGAAAATCACAGAACTGCATTGATTGACTAATTTGGAACAAGCTTACCTGGCTGAGTATCCATCCTATGGACACATCCTATGCCCAAGAGGACATCTTGATGCTATCCCCCTCAGAAGGCCTGCAAGGAAGCTCCTTGGCTTCCTTTGCTCTCTTTGTAGTACAGCTACTCTTTGTAGGGCAAACACAGGTGAGGTTGTAGGAAGGTGAGCATTGGCCTCTTCTCCCAGGAAAAGAACAATATGACCAGAGAAAAAGGCCTGAAGTTGTGGCAGGGGAAGATTAGACTGGAGATTAGGGAGAGATTCTTCCCTGAAAGAGTGGTCAGGCCCTGGGACAGGCTGCCAGGGAGGTTGGTGGAGTCACCATCCCTGGAGGTATTTTAAATGTGTGTAAATGAGGCACTTCAGGACATGTTCTGGTGGGCAGGGTGGGTTTTTCTGGGTTGATGGTTGGACTTGGTGATCTTGGAGGTCTTTTCCAACCGTGACAGTTCTGTGATGGGAAGTAAATCAGGGCTGGAAAATTCCCCTTATGTGCTTGCTTGGAGAAACAACCAGCCAGAAAACACCCCTGAACCAAAGCCCAGGGTTGTGACCTGTTGCTGGGATGGGAGCGGTGCCTTTCTTGGCTGAGCAGGACAGAGATTTCCATACAAGTCCTGGACAAAGGCACCAGCTGCTTTCAAAGGAATGGCTACACCCTTGCTCAGGAAAACTTTGCTTGTTGTGTGGGATGTCACCAGTTTCTGCCCAGTCCTTAACTCTTCCCCTTCAGGATCAGATAGTAGGACCAAAGTAGGACTTTGAGGAGGAAAAAAGGATGGTGGAACTCCAATGGAGTGCTCTACCATTGCAGGAGACAGCAAAATAATGATATTCTTTAGGTTGGAAAGGAATGATGTCCTGTTCATTCTCCCCCAGCTGGAAGCAAGTTGGGTCAGGCTGCTGTGATGAGCCTTGGTTTTCATTAGTGCTCAGGTCTACAAGTTTGCCATCATCAGGAAGCAAAACGAGCTGAAAGCACTTCAGTTGGTGGCCAAAAAGAAGCTGCAGTCCCTTGTGTCTTCCCCCTTGCCCCTTTTCATAGAGTCACAGAATGGTTTCAATTGGAAGGGACTATCAAGATCATCCAGATCCAACCCCCTGCATGGGCAGGGACACCTCCCACCAGCCCAGGTTGCTCCAAGCCCCATCCAACCTGCCCTTCAACACTGCCAGGGATGGGGCAGCCACAGCTTCCTTGGGCAACCTGTTCCAGGCTCTCACCACCCTCACACCCAAGAATTCCCTCCTCATGTCTCACCTAAATCTCCCCTCTTCCAGTTTTCATCCCTTTCCCCATGTTCTCTCCCTCCCTGCCCTTGTCCCAAGTCCCTCCCCAGCTTTCCTGGAGCCCCTTCAGGCACTGGAAGGTGCTCTAAGGTCTCCCTGGAGCCTTCTCTTCTCCAGGCTGAACACCCCAACTCTCCCAGCCTGTATCCAGGGCAGAGCTGCTCCAGCCCTCAGATCATCTTCATGGCCTCCTCTGGACTTGCTCCAAGAGCCTCACGGCCTTCCTGTGTTGAGGGCTCCAGAATGGGGCACGGTTTCCCCTGTGACCCGCTTTGCCTTACCTCCCTGCTTTGCAAACCTCCCTCCCTGCCATAGGAAAGGCCATGTCTGACATCTGGAGACCACACTGGTCGTCTGCACCCCCAGACCTATCTTTTGAGGTGTGCAGTTGTCCTGTCTCTTACAATACCGTGGTCACACTCCTATGAAAATGTAGTACTAGTTGGGACACCTTGAGTGGATGTACAAGAAGCAGCAGTTACAGACTGATGGAACATGTTGGCTTCTTCCTTCAATGAGAGTTTATCAGAGTTCCAGGCTAGGACGTGGTGCTCCTGGTGTCTTCTCTGATTAGCAACCAGTAAAGATGTGCTCCTAGCTGGGGTGGGGGCTTTATACAACTCTGACCCAAAAGCTGCAGCTGATTTTGGATATGTGTGGATGACTTCTTTTGGATCTGTTTGTTACTGCCTTGTAGTTAAAAGTGGCTTTTGCAGAAGCTTCAGAAGTGCTGGTGTGGCTGTTTGAACTGGGATGAGGAGCAGGTTCAGGCTAAAATGGCTTTATTTGGGTTTTTTTCCCCCTCTGTACTTGCTGCTTGATTTTAACCTGGTATGTTCCTCGGCCCAGCTGCCTTGGGTCCCTGCACAAGAGGTGCCATAGGAACAAGAAGCAGGACAGAGTTGGACTGGTCCACCTGAAGGCCTGGCAGCCATTCAGTGAGATCTAGACAGACTGGGGATTTGGGCAGAGATGAACCTTATGAGGTTCAACAAGAATAAGTGTAGAGTCCTGTACCTGGGGAGAAAAAACACCATGCACTGATACAGATGAGGGGCTGACCTGCTAGAAGGCAGCCCTGTGGAGAAGGACCTTGGGGTCCTAGTGGACAACATGTTCTCCATGGGACAGCAATGTGCCCTTCTGGCCAAGAGAGCCAGTAGTATCCTGGGATGTATTAAGAACAGTGTGGCCAGCAGGTCAAGAGAGGTTCTCCTGTCCCTTTACTCTGCCCTAGTAAGACCACATCTGGAGTGTTGTGTCCAGTTCTGGGCTCCCCAGTTCCAGAGGGACAGGGATGTGCTGGAAAGAGTCCAACAGAGGCTACAAGGATGATGAAGGGACTGGAGCAAGTGTCATATGAGTAAAGGCTCTTGGGGCTGTTTAGTCAAGAGAAAAGAAGACTGAGAAAGGACCTTATTAAGGTTTATAAATACCTGCAGGGTGGGTGTCAAGAATGGGCCAGTGTCTGTTCAGTGGTGTCTGTGACAGGATGAGGGGAAATGGCATCAAGTGACAACACAGGAAGTTCCACCTCAACATGAGGAGAAACTTCTTTGCTGTGAGGGTGACAGAGCCCTGGGACAGGCTGCCCAGAGTGGCTGCGGAGTCTCCTTCTCTGTAGACTTTCAAGACCCATCTGGATCTTCTCTAGGTTAATCCTGCTGCGTTAGGGGGGTTGGTCTTGATGATCATCAGAGATCCCTTCCAACCCCTGTGATTCTATGACTGGCGTCCTGCACCTGTAGAGCCAGTTGAGTATATCCTTGCTTTGTGTACTCATTGGGATACTATGGCAGTAATCTTTAATATTCCACGTGAGTTGAGTATCACTTCAGGAAGTGGCTGTTTGCTGCTGATGTGTGAGAATTACATTTTTAATAAAAATTCTACCCTGTTCTCCAGAGCTCTCCCTGTGCTCTGCCCCTCCTTGATATCCTGGTGTTCATCAAAGGCCTCACACCTGGAAGGGAGTTCCCAGGTGGCCTTTTGTTGTCAAGTCTTAAGTGAGGTGTCACATGAGGGGCCTGAATGGAAAGGTGGAAATGCCCAGGAGGAGAAGTGGCTTTTCAGCTGACAGGAGCTTCTTTGAAGCACACTGAGTTCTTGCACATTTTCAGCTCCTTTTTGGATGGGCTTTTACAACTGCAGGTGTCTGGGGTTGATGGTGGGATGATACCAGCTCATTGTGGGGCTTCTTCCAGTTGGAGTACTAGAGGTGGACAAGACATGATGGTAAGGAAAGTGAGATGCTTTTCTTTGGGCTGTTAACAGACCATCACTACTACTGTGATCTTGGAGAAGGTGATGAAATCACCCACCCAAGGTACTGCTGGTAGAGCAGCATATTAAAAATGTGCTGTTCCTTAGGGATTTTTGTTACCTTTCTGCTCCTATTTTGGAAATATTTTAAGGCCTGACTTGGAAGAGGGTCTCAGTGTTCAAGGGGAAGAAGTAAACCATGCATTTCACTTGTTATGTGATGTCCTAGTGCCACAAGAGCCCTCCTAACTGGAGAAGGGCCCTGTGGTTTCCCTGCTGACCGTGCTCTCTGTCCCGAGAACAGGAGTGCCCGAAATGCCACGTCACCATCGAGAAGGACGGGGGCTGCAACCACATGGTCTGTCGGAACCAGAACTGCAAAGCTGAGTTCTGCTGGGTGTGTCTGGGCCCTTGGGAGCCCCATGGATCTGCCTGGTGAGTTCAGGAGTGTGCCTTGCTGGAATGTGAGGAAGCAGTGATACAAGGAATCGGTTTGGACTGAAATGTGTGGAATCCCTGTCCCCGTTACAGGTACAACTGTAATCGCTACAATGAGGATGATGCAAAGGCAGCAAGGGATGCACAGGAGGTGAGTCCATAACCTTTGGTAATGAGGGAGATCACCAACCCTGTGACGTGCTTTTGGGCTTGCTGTAAACCTATAAATCAGCTCTGAAGAATTTCCTGGAGTTGGGTACAAATCCAAAGACAGTTGTTAAGTTCCCTGGCAGCTTTGGACTCTTGCCTCATGCACTCAAAGTCACTTTAACCCAGTTTAAGGAACATTTTAACTCAGTTGTTAGCTGTAATGCTGCCTTGCCTGTTCCATAGCAGCTCTTCTCATGAAGTCACTGGAGGGCTGTGGGTCTGAGGGAATCATCCTCACACCCTTCTTCAAATGCTTTTTACTGCAGAGTCCGTCATGCGAATCCTGAGGTGCTGAAACACTGCAGACCATGTGACTGTAAATAGAATACCCTGCTGCTGTTTCAATAACTATACTTGGAGGTTTGACAGAGCAGAAATTGTGGGCAAAGATGCAGCTACATGCAAGTGTTTTGTGACTATGAACAGAGCCAAACCCCTCTCTGGTGGGAGGGGTTGTGTGCTGTGTGCTGCAGCTTGAGGAAATCCATTTCCTGCATCTGTCAAAAGTACCCTTATAGTCAAGAAGCCAAGTATTTTTACAGCCTGTCCTAGTGCAGATGATAGAGTGGCTGATATGTGCCACCTTTGTACAGCCACAAATTGGAAGTTTAACCATGCCCATGTTGTCCTTTTTTCCCCCCGTCTGATCTGTCAGTGAGAAGAAAGTAAGATTAATGGCTGTGTATTGAGTCATCCTGGTTTTCTTGGATGGCGTAGCACATGGTGTCTTTCCCCTGCACTATAATCAGTGTGGCCTGGGCAACCTAAGGTTGCCCTCTTAACAGTTATTATTTAATTAGAATTCCTTATTAGCACAAATACATAAATCTGCCTCTCACTGTTCCTTGTGATGCTGGAAGCGTTTACACCCTGTGAGTAGAATGGAGAGGCTGAAATTCAAAACTGCTCAGGCTTTAGCAATGTGTTCCTAGTCACTTCCAAGGCTGGGAGTGAGGCTGTCCCAGCTGAGGTGGGACGTGTCCTGCAGGACAAGCAGCTTGGGGGGTCTGGCCTCTCACCCCTACGCAGCATCGGGGTTAACGCGGCGCCACCCACGTCTGGCCGACGTGAGGGGACAGGAAACACCTTTGGAAAGGAAGCTGGTTCTCGGGGTCAGGAAGAGCCTGAGAAGGGTTTACTTCTCCTGCAGCCTTTACTTTGTTTTAATGATTTTATTTTTTTTCTTTCTCCTTAATGGGAATTAACACAGCGATCCAGGGCAGCCCTGCAGAGGTACCTGTTCTACTGCAACCGCTACATGAACCACATGCAGAGCCTGCGCTTCGAGCACAAGCTCTATGCTCAGGTGAAGCAGAAGATGGAGGAGATGCAGCAGCACAACATGTCCTGGATCGAGGTGCAGTTCCTGAAGAAAGCAGTCGACGTCCTCTGCCAGTGTCGTGCCACACTCATGTACACTTACGTCTTTGCCTTCTACCTCAAAAAGAATAATCAGTCCATTATCTTTGAGGTAGGAGAAAACGGGGTTGTCAGGAGTTCAGATGACAAAGCTGATGGAAATAGGGATGTGATGCTTGGAGAAGCTCTTGTTCCCAATTGTGCAGAAGTAAATCTGTCTTCATGTCCTATTGTGGAAAAGTTAGAGGCTTTGCTGGGTAAAACATCTGAGAGCTGGAGCAGCTCTGCCCTGGATACAGGCTGGGAGAGTTGGGGTGTTCAGCCTGGAGAAGAGAAGGCTCCAGGGAGACCTTAGAGCACCTTCCAGTGCCTGAAGGGGCTCCAGGAAAGCTGGGGAGGGACTTGGGACAAGGGCAGGGAGGGCAAGGACAAGGGGGAATGGATGAAAACTGGAAGAGGGGAGATTTAGATTGGCCATGAGGAGGAAATTCTGGGCTGTGAGGGTGGTGAGAGCCTGGCCCAGGTTGCCCAAGGGAAGCTGTGGCTGCCCCATCCCTGGCAGTGTTGAAGGGCAGGTTGGATGGGGCTTGGAGCAACCTGGGCTGGTGGGAGGTGTCCCTGCCCATACAGGGGGTTGGATCTAGATGATCCTGAAGGTTCCTTCCAACCCAAACAATTCTGTGATGATGATTCACTGCTGGAGGAGGAAGAGGAAGGTGATTGAGGTTCTGTCTTTATGCCACCTTTGTCAGTTCAAAGCTTGAGTCTGGCATTTTGTATTTCCCTGATGTTGGCTTTTTTATAAGGGCACTACCAGAAGATTTAAAAGGGGAGGTCCAGTTTGCTTCACAGGTGACACTGCATTGGCTGCTTTTGATTTAGAAGAGTCCTTTGCTGAGCTTTGTGCAGAACCTGAGCAGGATGCTTCTGTGCTGTGTGCTCAGCAAAGGGCACAGAGAGCTGCTGAGCATTGGTGGAAGCTGCTCTGGTGCAGCTGGGAACATTCCAGGAGTCAGTGGAGGCTTTGCCAGTGCTGGTAGGAACAATAAATAGACAAGGGACAGAATGCAAGATGAATTGTCTTGCACCACAGTGTACCACTAGGAAGGAAAGGATTTTTTTAGGCTTGCCAGTATTTTGAAGATTGCAGAAGACAGAAGCCTGGCTGGTAGATAATGCAGATTCTCTTCTGACCAAATGAAGACATTTCAGGTTTTTCAATCCTGGTGCTCAGAGCAGGGCACCAGTGTTCCACAGCACGTATCTAATCCTGCTTTTTGTTTCAGTGCTAATTTCAGTTGGATTGAAGGAAAACAGCCCCTTCCTTTCCTCCTCAAAATATACCTTTTTTATTTTTGTCTTTGCAGAATAACCAAGCAGACTTAGAGAATGCTACAGAGGTGCTTTCTGGGTACCTTGAGCGAGATATATCCCAAGATTCGCTGCAGGACATAAAGCAGAAAGTACAGGACAAGTACAGGTTTGTGTTTTGCTTTCTCTGTCTCCAAGCTGCCCGAGTACCTGTGTCACCATCCTGTGTGACAGGTGGTGGCATGTGTGCTTGCCAAGCTTCAGTTTTCTCCAGAGTCCTGTCCCTGGGAAACTGTTTGCTCTTGGCCTCCTGCCATGCATTGTGATCATAAGCCGGTCCTTGGCCATCTGAGGACAGCAGCTCTCGTGTCCCCTGCCAGTCCTGAAGCCCTCACACAGATGCTGGCAGCATCTTGATGTGCTCCTGCTGGGACCAGCCCTTGGGTGAGGTGACAGCCTGCAGGGAGAGGTTCCCAGCTCTGCTTTGTGTCTGCTCTGCTGATGGTAGCTAGAAGATTCAATCCCATTGTGGAAAAATGTTGGGACCAAAAGCAATGGCTTTTTACATGCTGCTGGTCCTGCACATGGGGGTGGCCAGGACCAAGGCAGGACCTATGAAGTGAGGAGAAGAGCAAGGAGTGACTTTGTTCCCAGCTGACAACTTTGGCTTAGGCTGAGTTGCCATTAGAGCAATCAGCTCTTCTGTTGGGTCCATTTGTGCAAAAACTGGGTGTACAAAAGCCACCTGAAAGCAGAGGGACAGAGCAACTTGCCCAACTGGGGAAGAGAAAGGAAGAGCTGGGGTTCAGGTGACAAAGATGCTAAATGCTTTTTCCAGTCCCAGAGGAATTGCTTCTGCACAGTGGAAAAATGCAAAGCTGGAAAGGAGGATGAGCCACAGGATTAGGGCTCACCCTTTGGAGGCATTTCACCCAAGTCACTAAATTTGTTATTCCTAGCTTGTGAGTGAGTGTGGTATCTGAGGGGCTCTGGGGAGTGGCACTGAGGTGGCCTGTGGCTCACTCTGCCATAGTCTGGCAGCACGTTTGGGATTGGAGAAGATTATCAGACCTTCTCTTCTGGGACATTTTCTGATTTACCCTTCAAGACCACTGATAAGTTGGAATCTCAGCTCAAGCTGCTCATTCACTTAAGTCCTCTGAAACTGGGTGCTCTCTAGGAGTGATAACAGCTATCCAGAAGAAATTAAAACCTAATATAGCCTGAATTGCCTGAAAACACAGGATCCCAAACCTGCCTTTATGTTGCTGGGAAGGAAGTATGCATCTGTCAAGCCTGTGCAGCTCCCTAATTATCTAGTTTAGTCATGTCTTAATCACATCCTGCACGGTGCTCTCTGTATTGGTTCTGGTGTATTGATGCAAGACTGGAACCAGGGATGTTGTCCAGGTGGGTTTAAAGAGCTCTGAGAAGGGGCAGGAAGTAACCTGCTGGCTGATCTGGTTTCAGCTGTTTGGATCTCTTAGCTTGCAAATATGTTTCTGGAAAACAGGTTGAAACTTTCTGCCACTGGCAACAAAGTGAGCCAAGTTGAGAGAGCAGAAAGTGCAGGTTTGCTGTCACATGCTTCAGGAAATGAGGGGGACTTTGTGTACAGTGGTTTCTGGTGCAGCAGCTGAGAGCAGGGAGTGGAGCCAGGGCACTTTTATTCAGATAAATCTTACTCTGATCAGACCCAGAAAGGCAGCAGGGTTAGGGCTGTGGGTCAAGGTGAGGGATTCCTGCTTGTTTGTGAGCACGTGTTGGGTTGGGGATAGTTTTCCTCTGGGGTCTCCTGCTGGGAGATCCCTCCCTAAGCAAGCAGAGGGGTGTTTGGCTGTTGCCAAGAAAGCAGATTTCCCACCTGCAGGAGCCCCTT